GGAAGCAATGAACTTACCTGGAATCAATTTGATCCTTTGGGGTCTTAAAATTTGGTGGGCAAGACCAAAGCCATGTTTGGCTGGTGCTAATTGTCCCCTGCTACTGAGGCAAGAGCCTTCTGCTCAATGTCCCATGACTTATAGAGTTTTCTAGCGTGGCTACTGGGATAAGATACTATTCCCAGCCCTAGTCATTTCTATAATTCTGTTGTGTGGTTATTTCCCCAGCCTCAGCTAGTTTCTTTATATGCACATCCTGATTAGCATGAGTATGCTGCTGGATACCCAAAGAGAATAATTTTTAAAAAATTATATAATAGCATATATCATTAGCATGTCACATAAGTATTTTTTCTATGTCATGTAAATATTTTTCCCAGTTTCGTTGAGAAATGATTGACATACATCACTGTATATGTTTGAGGTTGTACAACGTGATGGGAGAATGTTCCTAAATCTCTGGAATTGTCTCTCTCTGTAGATCTCTTCTCTCTGGTAATCTGTCATTCACGACTCTAGCCACCTTGATCTTCCTGGATTCTCAACCTTGTCTCCTCAACTCAGGGAGTCCCCCAGGCTCGGGGTTCCCACCGCCTGAGCTGAGCTGGGAAAGTCTTTCAAAGCAGGAATCCCAGGCAGTGTTAAGGCTCACCTGCCTTGTTTCCTGACTCTCAGCGATTGCTGTCCTTCTTTGCCTGATATCCAGTGTCTTGAAAGCCAGGGTTTTATATAATTTTCTGACTTTTTGGCTGTTTCCAGGCAGAAAACTAAGTCTGGGCACTGTTACTCCATCTTGTCAGGAACCAGAAGTCTTGATGCTGGACTTTTACCTCAGGTTTGCAATTGTGTACAACGAGCCGGCGTTTGACTCCCACTTTGGCAATGTTATTAAGCACTTCTGATTCCTCATCTCCTTACAACCCCCACACCTATTTAGTTCCGAGAGGCTAAATAAGGGTGTTCCACTCTTATCTTAGAATCTTCTTCCAAGCTGCTGACTCCCATTTTGCAAGTTTGATACTGGTTGTTTTGGTGTTAGCAACTGTGCAGGCAAAGATAACTATGGCAGGATTCCTGCCTCGGTGAGAAAGGATACAATGCACCATGGATTGTGGGATGCATTCTGATTTCACATATGTTAAAAACGTGAGAGAAGGTTCCTCTTAGAATCCATGAAATATGGTATTTTGACTGTTGTGGCGATAAGATTTTCTAGCTGAATATATATATATATATATATATGTATATGTGTGTGTGTGTGTGTGTGTGTATATATATATATATATATGAAGTCAAGAACAGCTCCAAAGTTTTTGGCCTGGGCAACTGTAAAGATGAAGTTCCCAACAGTTGAGGAAGATCCATCTTATTTCGCCTGTTAGGTATACGTCCTCCATCGTGTAATGACTGATAACCTCAGGGGGAGATGTTGAAGGGCTCAAAAGCTTGGCTTCACCTTATTTCACTGGATATATCGTAAGAGTAATGAAGTTGGCATGAAGATAAAAAATATACTCCTAAAACCTCCTCAAGATTGGCAGACTGTATGTACTGCTATTTTTACGTGTAGCCAATCGCATTAATGATGACTCTTTTGTTAAAAAAAAAAGTTATTAAAAAAAATGAAAAAAAGAAATAAAAATAAATTACCAGTCCCATAGACTTAGAGGGAAGACTTCTTAAAAACATAAACCTCAACAGGCCTAAAAATAAGGCAAGCTCAGATATCAGAATAGGAAATCCTGTCTCTTCAAAAATTATCATTATGACCTTTCTCTGATACAGCAGTGAATGACACAGAAAAGTCCACGTATGATGAGATCGTAAAACAAGTTTAAAGTACTCAAAGAAAGCTGCGAAATACACATGCAGCTGTAGACTTTTTGAGGAAATATTTTAGGTACAATCTTTAGAATAATTTTCTTGAGAAAGGACATTTGCAACCCATATTTGTGAAATGATAGCATTTATGATTCCCATGGAAAGCTTATCAATTTAATTGAGAAAGAGGTTATCTGATCTCTGAAGCAGGTCTTCCAGAATTGTTGATTAATAACCTAGAAATATGTCTTGACTATTGGCATCATGGTTCTGTCGACAAAGCCAGAATAAATTAGGCCAGATGCACTTGGTCATAGAGCAGTGTGCCTTTGTGGAAAAGGGCACCCACAGGAATGTGAGGTCCAGTGAGAGAGGGTGTACCCATCTGTCCCACCAGTCAAACCTATTGAATTAATCACTAAGGAGGTGGGTGATAAAGCCAGACTGCTCACACATTCTCAAATGTCTTAAACACCACTCTGTGCTCACTACTGTAATAGATGCCAAATGGAAGAATCCCCCAGCCCATCCCCAATTATTGAGAATTTATCCCCAAATAAGACAATTATTAATACATATCCAACTCAAAGAGGGGCTTTTAATCAATATGCAGAATATGAAATCAATTTTTCCCTATCTTTTTGTCAAATTAAGATCACTTTCTTAAATTATATTTTGAGGTGTATCAGCTGGTGTTAACAGATTGTGTGTGTGTGTGTGTGTGTATAAATTCTCTGGGTAAACATTTTGGGGATGCACTGGATTAAATAGAATGAAATGAGCCTCTTTGGTTCAGGGCTTCTAAGAAACCAATGTGCTTAATGGATTTCCACGAGCAGGGTATAGCTTGTGGTATTTTCCCACATATTTTATCTGGGGCCCTTCTCCTTGGACCATTTTGTGGGGCTGTCGCTTTGCTGGTCTTTTTTGTCGCTGAACCTCTGGTACCTAGGAGGGGGCCTAACACTAGGAGACACTCCAAAAATATTTGTGGACTAAAGTAATGAACTTGCTGATTGCCTGATGAGGGGCCAGTTGTCCATCAGCCCTTGACAGAACCATAGAAGAACAGACCATGACTCTTCCTACTTCCTGTGCCCTGTGCTGCTGATTCTTCAAATTTGCACCAGCTTGAGAGGCTCCCTATTTCTCTTTGACTAGCCTTTTCCCCCAACACCCTTATGGGTTTCTCCCCATCTTCCTTGGGGAGCATACAAGGGTTAATGCATCAGCCAGAAGCTAGGGTCAATGCCCCAGTATGTGGAATGCGAGCGGCTTCTCAACAGAACAAGAGGGAGGCCGCCTGAGTCGTGTGTGGGTCAGAAGTCTGCCACTGAGCATTGCGGAGCCAAACAGAAAGCTTCCCTTTTACTTGCACTTTATTTGACCTGTGGATAAACAAAGACTTTCTATTTCCAGAAATCCCATTGTTTTAACTGCTTTGAGTTTCTTTTGTAAACTTAAAAATCCATGTCTTTATGCAAGACATTTAAAGCTCTGTGGGCCCAGTCTGAACAATTTTTGTTCCTTTTCTATATTCTCCTTACATGTTTTGTGCTTATAGCCACAAAGTCTTGGCTCTCTGAAATTCAGCCTTTTCTTCAACAATGTACGACATTAAAAACCACTAGAAGGTTGTAGTGTGAGTAGAATATTCAACATTGGAGAGAACTTGATAAATGTAACCTCTTTAGGGAGAGAACTGAGAGCATATGATTCTTCTTTCTCATTCAACTGGCTATGTGCTGGGGCCTTGGAGGGTTTAAAAACATAGCAAAAATAAAGTCTTTCAGTTCCTGTCCTTAAGGAGATTTGGAAGAGAGGGAGGAAAGTAATATTTACAAAATGCCTCCTGTGTTCCAGGCTACACATCTCTATATTGATATCAATATCTATATCTTTTTACAACAATACTGTGAGGTAAGTGTGCTTTTCCCTGTCTTACAGATGAGGAAACTAAGGATCAGAGAAGTTAGGGAACTTCTGAGATTCATTTATGGAAATCAGATTCTCCTAAAGACGGGATGATGCTAAGTTTCAGAACCTTGGGTACCTTTTAGGATTACTCTTATTGAATTTAAATTTTTCCAGTGAGAGTATGATAATGTATAATATCAGAAAAAAATATGTGTGAAACAAAGAATCCCCACGGAGCTTCTGAATATGCTGGTGAATTTAAAATACCTGCTTTTTCCCTTGTCTTCTGGAATGCCCTCCTCTTTTTTTGACCATGGGCTACTCCCTATACTTCTCAGAGGCTTCATTTCATCATCATGAAATGGAGATGGTAGCATCCTCTTTGCCTATGTCACAAGCTTTGGGTGAAGGAGTAAATGATATAATTTGGAAAGTGAAACTCTTCAGTAGCATGTAAATAAGAGGTGTCGTTGTCACACACGTCACAAGCAAGAATGCCTGTGATATGTTTGGGGTGCATAGAATATACCTCTAATTAAAAAAAAAAAAATAAGTTCTGCTTCCAGTGAATTCGGTCGCAATTTGCAAGTAGGGTGAAAGTAATCCATTTCTAAATCTGGCTGTGATTCAGCCAAAAAAAAAAATTTTTTTTTTCTTTTTTAATTTTCAAGCAGAGAGGATATGGGGGGGAAAGGTTCATAACCATTCCTGAGACACTTAACTATATATAATATTAGATGTAGATAGGGTGAAGGATATTAAAGAACTGGGAGGCATGATTTCTGCCCTTAAGAGATTAAACAAATACAAACAAATAAATCTTCTCCTAGTCTTATTTTTCCTGATAATCTAAGATAGTTACTTTGCTAGAAAGAAATTCAGATCTTGATATAATACAGTCATCCTTTGAGCATTAGAATTTATTTTCATTTTCGTAATCCGGAGAAATTTGGCAATGTAAAACCCAGGTTTTAAAATCAGAAATGGAAACTTGCAAATTCATTTCTCAATCTATCAAAATTTATATATATTTTTTTAAAAGGCCCGGTGCCCCATAAGTTAGCTAGTGACCAGCTTCATTGGCATGTTTTTTTCTGAGGAAAATGGAAATTTTGATTCCCAAATGTCGGTGTTCCTCTTTCAAACACTTAAAAGACGATTGTCCCCTGGGGGAGTATAGAAGTCAGTGCTTTACATAGGAGCTAGTCGATAATTTTGTGTCAAATTATGTGCCTTTAAGATATCGCTTTGTTTCTCTCTAGTGGATGATACCGTGGTTGCCATTCCCTATGGAAGTAGACATATTCGCCTCGTCTTAAAGGGACCTGATCACTTGTGTAAGTAAACTCAGTTGTTTTCCTTTGGGTATTGGGAATTTTAGTCACTATTATTTTTTGTTCCCAGAAGAGATTAAAACACAGAAGTGCAAATCTTTCTACTCTATCATAATATGGTATTTTGAGTGCTTCTGTTTATCTTTTGGCTGCCTGATGAGATAGCAGAAACCTCGGGGTAATTATCTCTAACCACACTCGTCCTGAAAAATACAAAATAGATGCTCCCAATAGGTTGCTCGTGAGTCAAGCACATGTTTATGCTTCTGTGAATATTATTGCTCATTCTCTCTCTTCTTCCTCTCCAATCAATCTGTCTTTTTCTTGCCTTGCATCCCTTTTCCCACCCCCTTCTTCTTTCCAGCCTTCCTCGCCTTCACTTTCTTTCCTCCTATTCCCGTGTTCCATTACTTTATCGATTCAGGGGAACGTAGAAGCACCAAACAACCTTAACTTTTAAAGAAAACCATAGTGGTATGATCAAACATCCCATGTATTAAAAACAATACAAAGCCCTCCTATACTGAAGGTAGCTATTGGGATTGAGGATTGATGGATAATCACAACCCTAAAGATCAAATGGTAGCATGGCCCCGCTAGAATTGAGAAAGAATTGGTATCTTCAGTCCTGCCGCGCAGTAGTACACAGCCACATTGTCTCTTTTTTATTATTAGCATTTACTGTTGTTTAGACATAGACCTGTAAATTACCAGCAGACAATTACAGGCTATAACCCAGGGAAGGGGTATAAGAGGATACATTGTATTTTCTACAAAATTCAGTTCCACTGAAAGACTTCACTTCAGCTGGTCCCTTGAGCATTTCTGATCTCCTCCACTGTGACTGTTCCTGGATTCCTAAAGAACCATCTATCATCTTCTGTTCTTTCTCCCCTCCCACACACATGCCTAGGAAACCAATTTAGGTAGCGAGCATTATCTTTTGGCAATTGGATTATAAATGAAATCATTCCAGAAAGACAAACAAGAGGAAGATAAATTGGAGCCTGTGAAAGTTCAGATAGCCTACTATAGTCTTTCTAAAAATAAAAATAAATACATTTCATGGGAGAGGCGGGATTTGAGGGGTCATGTGAAGGGAAGGAATAAGTAAGGTACAGTTCAGGCAAAGCCAGAAGATGCTGATAAGTCACCTTATATGGATCCAAGTTCTTTTCTAACCCTGAACAACCCCCCAAAATATAATGTTCACATGTCGAGGGATGATATATGTGTGTACACTATCACCATTCAAATGATTTGCTTTCCCTCCGGAGGATTGGACAGAGGTAGCTGCTCGTGTAACAACCCCACTCAAAAACAGTATTTTTCTAGCAGTGACAGGCCTGCTCAGAATAAAACATCCAGGCAGAGATCATCACCAAGTGGGGGACTGACTCCTCAGTGCAGAAGAAAGACCCCAAAGGAATAGATCGAAGAGGAAATTCATTTTTATAAATGTATGAGCCTCCCAGTTTTCCTAACTGTGTGATCACTAATAAGCTAAAGGATGAGCCTTTAATTTTGCTTTAATTGTCCCAAGAATTCAATAGGTGAAGCGGCAGATGATATTTATAAATGATGGAAAGCAAAATGGAATTTCTTTTTTTCCTCCAACAGACATACATGTATGTTGACAACATACATGTAGCTTAAGAATTTTTTGTTTTGTGTATCTGGAATAATTAATATAATATAATATAATATAATATAATATAATATAATATAATATAATATAATATAATATATAATATATAAGATGAATATGTGAATAAATGACACCCTGTTTCACTTGCACCCCTTTGCACTTAACTCCCAGAAGCTGGTCTAATATGGGACTAATCTGAAATATTTAGGGCCAAACCAGAACAACACTAGGCAGTCTGGTCCAGCCCCCGCTTATCTTCCATCAGAAGTACCTTGGGAAGGACAGCTGGGAGGCCTGCTGATAAGACTGAATCAGATGCTCAAATCAGACTTAGACCCCCAGGATTTTTCCAAAACTAAGTTGATTTATGTCTTGGAGCTATATCCACAAATTAGTACACCTACCCACACGTAAGGCAGCTTGAGAAATGAAGGCTCACAGAAGGAGATCCTGTGTTGTGGTTTCCCCTCCAGTTCTCCCTTGATGTAGCTCATGTTCTCCTGTGAAGACCTCTCTCCTCTAGGGCAGGGGGATGGAGTCTGACCTACTCCAGAAAAAGGGCTACACAGACTTCATCTAAGCGTTGTGGGCATTTCACGGGACACCAACATTCTTCACTTGTTGGTATTCCAGTTTAAAGTAGACAATACGTAGAATAACTTAGTACGGGTACTTTAGTACCTCCAGAGGTCCTAAAATTATCCCGGAACCCCAATCTGTAAGACATGGAAGAAGGGAGTCATTCTGGTTGAATGCTGGGTAGAGACCCAGAGCCTCGCCTGGCACTCTGTCCTTCCGCTGAAGAACCACTGCTAAAGCTAAGAGTTCTTATGCAAGTTTTAGAAATCATTAGACGGTCTGTCCCTCTTCATACAGTGGGTAGTTATTCTAAATCATTTCTCAATCACATGAGAATTTAATCTGCTCTGAAATACATGGCATAAATTACCATCATCCCCAGCTTGCTCACATTTCCTACAACAAAAGATGTTTCATCGTCTTTGTCATTGGCCAAATTCTGATTGGAATGCTCCAAGAATCAAGAAGTTCTTCTCTCTTAAGCACTAATATCATATATGTACATAATACTACATTAGGTACCCAGCAGGATTTTTAAAAGAGAGAGAACTGAAAAGAATGGTGATTTCCTTGTCCTCATTACTATTGTTTCTTCATGGCAAGCCGCAACACACACACGGTAAGAAAGCAGATAGTAGTACAAATAAATACAAGGTAATGCATGGGTATAAAGTCGCACGGGTGCTGAGGGGAACTCTGCGAGGCACCCTGGATCTCACGGATCAAAAAGAAAACTGGAGGGTATTCTAGACAGCCGTAGAGACTGAAATCAGTAAGACATGTATGGGAGATGGTTTAGTTGAAGGAATAGGATGGTGGTAAAGTGGGGTACCCTAAGGAGGTCATTGGGGAGTCAAAGATTTTTTTGACTGGGAGCCCTGAATGCTTGGCTAATGAGTTTTAAAATAATATCATTTGCAACAGAAACTCCTCTGTGATCCAGAGGTGCCCATAAATTTTTCTATCCCAATTTCAGCTGTGTCGGCCATATAAAGAGGGTATTTCTCCCTTCCATAGCTGTAGACTGTTTCATGAAATTTGCTGGCATGTGGTCTGTGGTAGCCCTAGGAACATCTTTCTCTCCTTTACATGTGTTTGACCATGTAGATCTGGAAACCAAAACCCTGCAGGGGGCTAAAGGTGAAAACAGTCTCAGCTCGACAGGCACCTTTCTTGTGGACAATTCTAGTGTGGACTTCCAGAAATTTCCGGACAAAGAGATACTGAGAATGACTGGACCACTCACAGCAGATTTCATTGTCAAGGTAAGGGCCTCTAGGTACCTTGTTCTCAAGCCATATCCAAACTGTTACTTATAATCTCCCGAAGAGAGAGAGAGAGAGAGATTTGGGGTTTGGGTGTAGATTTGGAAATCCTATTCTCCAGGAAATGTTTAATTCAGGGGTGTCAAGGTACATCCTGGACTTTTCAGGAACATATAATATTTTTAAGATCCTAAGAAAATCCTTATGTGTGTATATATATGTATATGATTTAATAAAAAGACTCAAAGACCAACACATCATTAGTTGGAGGATATAAACTGTTTTTGAAACAAGTTAGGATACAGTCATTGACTCACATAAGGTGTTCTCAGTCGATGAGAAAGACAAAATAATGATCCATAGACTTGGTCATATGTCTCATTACAAGTTCTGTTTTCTCTTGTACTGGCAACAAGACTAACTTGTTTCCTTCTATCAGAGCTTCCCTACTCTTCAAGGTAATATAAAACACATTGCTGGAAGCAACATATCCATTCTGTAGGAGAAATGTATACACTAGAAGAATGTTTGAAAATCACAATAAAATAAAACATTTTTTCCTTCAGTAGGTCAGAAGGACCTGAAGGATGTCAGCTGTAAAGCTCTAAAACTTGTAATGTGTCCAGGACTCCATAAATTTTTCATCATGGGACCTGGAGCCAGAGGACACTTGATTTAAGCTAAGACTCGATGACCCCACGGCAGCTGGAAGTAAGAATGCACATAGGAAAATGGGGTAGACAGTGAGGTCGGATGGAAGACGGGTTCCAGAGCGCTGTTCTCGGTCTCCATCTGCATGGTAGCTCTTTTTAATCTGGTCCAGATGCCAGCCACATTTGTGTGAACAAGAAGCTACAAACCAGCAAAGATAGCTCACCAGAAAAATGATGCTCTGGGTGGTTATTTCATTTCAATATGCAAATACAGCACAATAGTGAGAGCTGTCTTTATTTTATTGCAACCCTTAGAGCACTGCTGAACAAACCATTTGTATTCCTTTCCCTAGTAGCCTTGCAAGAGTTAATACACATACTGAAAATAGTGAACTGGATTCAAGTAATATTGTTCACATGTCAGTAGTTGACAGTATTGCTGAGGCATTTCATACATCTAGCTGCCTTCTGCACATCACCACTTGGATATTCCATAGGTGCAACCAGCGCAACATGTCCGAAACTGGACTTGTCTAGCCCCAGAAACCTACTTAATCTTCTTTATCTCCTATCTTGTGGAATAATATGCTATTTACCCAGCCACATCAGAAACCTTCGATTCACACTGATTTCCCCTTCTTCTATATGCCCCCGGTTAGACCTTAAACTTTGTCCGTTCTACCTCCATACCATCTCAAGACCATTCTTCCTTGTTCCTCCTTGCCACATGCCATGTGCATCCTTCTGAACCTGCAGCCCCAATGAATGAACTTGACTTTCTCAGCCAGTGGAAGGTTTTTTTCAGTGATGGTCCCTCCTTCCCTAAAACTTCCAACTTAGTTCTCCTTGTGAAAGCAGCTAAGGTACCTGTTCAGCTTGTGCCCATTCTAGAAATTTCAGAAGAACGTCATAGAGAAAAGTGACTGATGAGTACCTAAGACACCAAAGTAGTAGAAAAATTGTGTCTTGCATTTGCATCAATTAGAGCATTAGACACAGATAATGCATTCATATGTCTTTCTGAACAGCATGGAGCATCACCCTGTGCATCACTCAGCAGCCAAGGAGCATAGGGGGACTCCTGACTCCCAACCCTTTGTTGGCCTTGTCTGGGGCAAAAGTTTCTACAACACCAGGGAGAGAAAAGAACATGGTAGGGGAACAGCTGAGGCTCACAAATTACCCCTTTTCCCAACTGCGAAGAAAAAAGTGTGGCATTTCATAGTGCATGAACTGGGAGATCCTTTGTGTACTTGATGATGTCTTTCATGCATTTGAAATGTCTTCCTGATTCCTTTGATTTTACATGGACCTAATGTTCATCTATTACCCACTCACACACTTGCCCTGTCCTGGGCACTCTATCATGACAGTGAGATCAGTTGCTATGGAAAGTGACCAGTTTTTGTCTTCTCTTTTCCTTTCAGTGTGAGAAGTCTTATATTAAATTAGAAACACTGAATCATTGTAATTATAGGAAGAAAAGCTTGTTTCAGAACATTCTTTTTCCTTATTAACTTAAGGAGGCCCAAATTACATATGCCAGATGTGTTTAGCTCCCTAAAACTAAATTCTAATGTGTCAAACTGAAGCTTTCAGCATATCCTGGAGAATAAGAACCTGATGTCTGAGGATTTAGGGTGTATAAAGCTCCAGAGCTAATGATAACAAAAGTCCCAGCCACCCAGAATTAGTAAGACCAGAAACAAGGAACATGGAAGCTCATCTCTGTGAGCAACAATTAGGCCATCAGAGTTAGACATTGGGTTAGCCTCTTTATTTTCCTACTTGCAAATGAAAACTTAAGATACTGAGAAGAACAGTACAAGGCCACCACTGAAGATAAATACCTGATATCTCCACAACACTAACACTAACAGAATTGTTTGGTACTATGAAAAGAATGGCAGCTTTCAAGCCAAGGCAGACCTGAATTCAAATCCCAGCTCTGCTCTTCCCTAGCTGTGTAGCCTTGAGCAAGTCACTCAGCCTCTCTGAGACTCCTATCTCTTATCATAATGTAAATGTGGAAAGATAATACAGAGTAGTTCTAAGATTTGATTTAATATAAATAAAATGTACCCTGCATACGGTAGGCATGTAGTAAGTGCCGGTTGCTGTGGCAGTTGTTGGTTATTATTAAAAGAAGGTGCTTATAGAGAAGAGAGAACCAGGAATATTATCAGTGTCGAATCAGGTAAGATTTGTATGGTCAGAGATTTGGATACATCACAACTGTTTTTATCTATTTGAAATAACAATACCCCTGTTCATTTCCAATCTCTTTTCAAATTTAGGCATACAGTCTCAGCATTCACGGTCATTGTACATCAATTTCATTGGACAGTTAGGAACAATATCCTCTCTAAGGTCCTTATTTTCTTTCCTTCAACATAGTATTTACTAACACTTCCTCTTAACACCAAAACGTCTTGACATGCATTCCTTACTCTCAAGGCATAATGTGCTTTTACTGGTAACTTCTAGGAAGCTGAAAATTTGATGTGTTCCATCTTTTCCTCTTTAAACCAGATCAAAAACTGAGCCCAGACACTGTACAGATATTCTAGAACAAGGTTTCTCCAAGGATTTTGATGTTATAGCCTCCTCATTTTTGTTTTTTCCTCCACTTTCCTAGGACTTAGTTTAATTTCAAGCATCCCAAAAGAGACCTCTGCAAAAAAAATCCATCTCTCTAAGCCTAAATAAATCTTCTGGTCTTTTTATTTTTTCACGGAGCTGATGTTTAAATGAGAGTCCTCTTCTAATACCTTTCCAGCATGGAAACCACACATCCCAAGAGAGCTATAGGCTTTTGTGAGCTTAAAAAAAAAAAAAAAAAAAAAAAATCTCGAAAAAAAAAAAAAACTTTCCAAAGAATGTGATTAATACTACATCCCTGAGCAAGCAATTAGGTATCCTGTATCTGACACATAGGATTGAAAAATATTAATCTGTAGGCTCTGTGCCCCTTTTGTGAAAGACACCATATTGCTTCAGCTGTTTTGGCTTTAAAGTAAGGGATTGTATCACTGTTTATTCTAATTAGGAAAGACCTCGATGTTTCATGGGTCAGAATGCCAGCATAATATGAGATATTCTATAGTTCTCTCTCTCTTTCTTCTTTCTCCTTTTCCAGCTCTTGCAGATTATCTGAGGAACATTTCCAATATTTTCATCCAAAGTCCAAAAATTGGTCTAGGATTTAACACCTACTCCCTGCATTCCAGTGTTCCTAGATGTTTAATCCAGTTGTTAACCAGTTGTTCAACTCAGTAGTGGAAAATAGGCTGTCTTTTTTAAAAATCTGAAGGCCAAATCCATCAGCTTATCCTAGGCAAAGGGCAGTGGGACCACGGTAAGGCCTGAAAACATAAAGACGTAGACCACATGATGCGCTGATATGCCTCTAACTGTCTTGAAGTAAGAGGTGGCCCTCTTGGTTGTCCATGGAACTTCCTTTAGTATAATAAATAGTCCAAGCCTTGCCCAACTGTCTCCGTGTTATACGGCATGTCATTATGTCTTTGTGAAATCAAGGCGCTGCTCCTATTGGGTACTTTTTCCTTCTCTTTCAGATTGAGTATATTTTCTCAACCTTATACTTTTAGGAATTATTAAAGAATTATTGCCTCACTTCCCCTTTTTAAAAACAAAATGGGGGGCGCCTGGGTGGCTCAGTTGGTTAAGCGACTGCCTTCGGCTCAGGTCATGATCCTGGAGTCCCGGGATCGAGTCCCACATCGGGCTCCCTGCTCAACAGGGAATCTGCTTCTCCCTCTGACCCAACTCTCTCTCATGTGCTCTCTCTCTCTCTCAAATAAATAAAATCTTTAAAAAAAACAAAAATAAAAAATAAATAAAAACAAAATGGGGTTGTAATTTCCATAAGGACATGAATATTCAAAGTACACATTGCTTTTATATTGTAAGTTGGTGTTTTTCAAAGTTTGGTACTTGGACTATCAATGTTTCCATTGCTCTTGCATTGCAAGAGCCCAGGAATTTGCATTTTAGCAAGCTTCCAACTGGCAACTCTGCACATTAAAATGTATGAATCACTGAAGTGCCAGGAAACATCTCTGAGTGGGCAGAGCCATTTAATTCTTTAATTCTTTTTTCTTGACTAAAGACAGGATCTTTCATTTTCTGCAGTATATGGCATTTATAATTTCCTCAGAACAAATTGTCTACTTTGGAACCTGCATTTAAAAATTCACATACACAAGACACCTGGGTGGCTCAGTCGGTTAAGCATCTGCCTTCGGCTCAGGTCATGATCCCAGGGTCCTGGGATCGAGCCCCGCATCGGGCTCCCTGCTCGGCTGGAAGCCTGCTTCTCCCTCTCCCACTCCCCCTGCTTGTGTTCTCTCTCTCACTGTGTCTCTCTCTGTCAAATAAATAAATAAAATCTTTTAAATAAATAAATAAAATAAAAATACACATACATACATATTTTACATATAAAAATCCACGCTATGGCCACTTCTCTCCTAGAGTGGTTCTTCATGCAGCCTAAGGCCGTCGGTGCCACTGTGCATTCTTGTACAAGTTGCAAGGGACAAAGAAAGCCCCTCCCTGTCATACCAGTTTCTCTCTTTGCTTTTATCTCCTGCAGATCCACAACTCGGGGCCCGCAGACAGCACAGTCCAGTTCATCTTCTATCAGCCGATCATCCACCGATGGAGGGAGACAGATTTCTTTCCTTGCTCAGCAACCTGTGGAGGAGGTAATGGTGTTCACTTACCCTTGGAACTCTTGGCTTCTGTGAGGGAAGACTTGGCTGTCATGAAAATAGTCATTTCAATGTGGAAGAAATTGAGTGCTGTGATGGGTCTGATTCTTTATTCTGAATGGGGCCAAATCCTGAAGCCCTCCTGTAAGGCAGATACCTCCCTCTAGATGCTGCATGAACATTTTCTGTCAGCAAAGTTCCATTAGTGGAAACGGTCTTGACTCTATTCTGTTCCTTTGAGAATAAACTACTCATCTGGTTGAAGAGAACTTAGTTATTCAGGAGACAAATGGAGAATGTTTGTCAGGCCTACTACCTAGCATGATGTATCCAAAAAGAATCAGAGGTTGATTTAATTAAAGGAAATAGTTTATTACCAGAAGAAAAAAAAAGTCCCTGCACTACAGACTTAGACTCAGTTTTTGTTAAACCCTACCCCATCATCTGCACCGTAAATGGAATGCCCCTTGCCTTATTTATTCATTGAAACACATCTCTCCTGAAAAGTCACCAAATGAATTTCTATCTCTACTCTGTCACATCTGCAACATGGACAGCATTTTGTGTTACTGGAAAAGATATCCCCTCCCCATTTTCTGCCCTTGATAATTATAATGGTTACATAATAATTGCTTCAAATCATTTTATAATTTATTTAGCCATATCCCTATAGAAGATTTAGTTCATTGAAACTTTTCTATTATAATGTAATGAATAACTTAATACCTAAGTATTTTTCTTCTTTCAAATTATTTCCTTGGAATAAATTCTCAAGAGTGAGTTTCAGAATTTTTGTGGCTATTGGCATATATTACCAAAATTCTTTCCAGAATGGTAATAAGCAGCATATGAATATTTGAGTTTCATTGCCAACTGAGCCAGTATTTGTGGATTATAAGAATTGTTTAATTTTGCTGATTTAATGAGCATAAAATTATATGTATATTCCTTTAAAAACTAGCACATCAAATAAATTCTGGCTCCACCTTCATAGAAGCCTGTTAATTGGACAGTGTTAAGTAGTTAATCCACATGGGAATCACTAGATTATTTTGACAAGAGAAAAGAAGGATGGTACTTCAAAATAGAGACAAATTATTACCTATTCGTTTTTTTTAAACAGTAAGAACATATGAAATAATTCATCTTCAGCTGCATAATGTGAACACACCACCAAAAATGAGGTTCTATAGAATAATGTTAGGTTTTAGCTTAAAAGCTGTTAGTCAAAAATACCTTCAAGTGCTTTTTACTTGGTTGTTAAATAACTATTCGTTCAACATTCTAAGCATTTCAACAAAATAGTATTTCCATCTGCTCTATCTGTCCTGAAGAGAAAATTACTTTGTTTAAAAATAAGATGCCAATTACTTTGATGTTTCTTGGGAATATGTAATTTTGATACACCTATTAATGACTAGCATAGGAAATAGTTTTGAAGAAAGAAATCCAAGCAAATAATTATTTTTCTTCTTTTTATTTTTAAGATTTTTATTTATTTGAGAGAGAGAGAGAGAGAGTGAGTGAGAGAGAGAGCACACACAAGCAAGGGCAGAGGGAGAGGGAAAAGTAGGCTCCCTTGCTGAGCGAGGAGCCCCATGCAGGGCTCGATCCCAGGACTCTGGGATCGTGACCCGAGCCGAAGGCAGACGCCCAACCGACTGAGGCACTCAGATGCCCCTCTTCTTTTCTTTTTAAATGCAAACCGTGCTTTGTGAGAAGTAACAATTCAGTAATATGCCCACTATGCCAGGTTCACACAGAGCTGCTGTTGGAGGTTAATTTCAGTAACCTTGATGATGCCTTGCTATATAATGGCAACTAATGTTAAATTCATATTGGATATAACCCCTCTCAGTCTTATGTTCCTCACATCTAAGTGAAGAAGTAGAAGCATTAGTGGTCTTCAAATGTTTTGAGTGATCAAACCCTTGCTTCAAAAGAAAGATCACTAGGAAGCCCAGATAAAAGGAGTATTGCTCAGAATGAAGATAGGAGCAATGTGGAAACCAGCCTTCTTCCCACTGTACCGACCACAGTTTGAAAATTACTGAAGAAATGATCTCCGAGTTCCCGTTTATATTTCTGGTTCCACATTCAACGTTTTGCTAAGTGTAAACAAACAATCGCTACTCCAATTACCTTGTGAAATGCTTGAAAACACAATTATCTTGTCATTTATTTCATTTTTGTTCTAAACCTTCATTTCACACACTCTCAGATAGCCTGACAACAACATTTGTAAGATGACAGATTATGATTTTTAAAAATCATAATCGTACACAATTTACTTATTGATTAGGCCCACATTTTACTACATGATAAATTCTGTCCTTGAGTAGAAATTACCATATGGAAAATATAAAAGTATAAAAGGTATAAAATGATTTGCTTATAAAATTACAAATTATAATTCTTATTATAAAATGATTAGTTTGTCATAATATTATCTGCTTTAGAGTATAATGTAATTGAAAAATAAAAGTATACTTATTTACAATGTCATTTTTCTCTTTGATTTTCTTATAAAATAAAAAGCTTAATGGAACATGTGCTCTGACCTATTACTTTCCATGCTTTTCATCTTTACAGTAACATTGTTAAAAGGTCTTTTTTTGGGTCTTTAATGAACAATTAATTTTTGTGGGTGGTCTGAGAACACAGCCCCAAGCCAGGAAATCTGGTTTATAAGCCTCCTTCTGATCTCCTAAAATCTTTTGCAAGTCTTTAATTACTCTAACTCTGACTTGCTAACACATATCTAGCGATAATATTTAACCACCTGCCAGAGAGAATATATTTTGGAGGTTGGTTAGGGTTAGAAAATACAAAAGCCTAAGTTAAAAAAAAATTATCTATGTACATTTCTTTTTCACCCTAAGAATCTCAGTCTTCATCAACACCTCACCAGAAACACAGAGAGAGAAGCAGGTGGGAAAGCTCCAACGAATGCAACTAAGTAGTACACAGCAATGCTATTTTTAAAAGAATTCTCTCAACAGTGGAAATGTGTGCACGGAAACTAAAAAATATCAGGAGCAATGGCCACGGATTTTAGGTCAAGAGGAAATTGAACATTAGGGGAGTACTATTATTGTCATTGTTCTGGAGGGATTCCTAGTGGCTCCTGTTAGGATCTTCATCCTCCATTTACTCAGCCTAACCTACTCAGGTTGAATTTAGACAAAGATAGTGTTCCCAAGGCCACTGGCAGGACCTGATCTTGTGCTGTTCCCCATTCCCCCAACGGGAGCACTGTTAGAGTTTATTTCATTGATCAATTTGGGAGTTTATTCTTCCTGGTGCCCCAGATACAAAGGAGGCAATTTTGCATCCTTGCAAAATTTAATGGTTGGCAAGTAAATACTGATCATCTTTTGTTACACTTTTAGAAGACACAAAGCAAATTAACAAGACTAGGACTTACAGCGGAGTCTTTTCACCTAGCTCTGCCCTTCTTGATTCAAACCTTATAGTATAATTTAATGATTAAAATTTGAGTGGAAAAATAGTATTTGAGGTCTGCAAAAATTAACGAGCCTTCCATTTATCTGTCTTGTGTCCTGGAAATTACCTGAAGCATTGGGAAAGAATTTCCATTAATGGGAGATGGCCAAAAAGCATAAAGAAATATATTGCGTTATATTTTACCGTGGTTTGTGTGTTTTAAACTTGCCTGGATGGTTTGATGCTACAGGTTACCAGCTGACATCGGCAGAGTGTTACGACCTTCGGAGCAACCGTGTGGTTGCTGATCAATACTGTCAGTATTACCCGGAGAACATCAAACCCAAACCCAAACTTCAAGAGTGCAACTTGGATCCTTGCCCAGCCAGGTCAGTCAAATTTACCAGTTTATTTGTCCTAAACATAAATCAAGTTCCAACTAAGCTTCTGAAATTATTTAATGAAAAATAAGCGTCACTGCCCAGTGTCCATTCCTAATCATGCATTATTGTTACTTTTTGGACTTTTGGGCTTTTTGGAAACTATGACTGGCCCTCACTTAGGTTTAAGAATCAGACTGACAAATGAAACATCTCAGATGATGAGGAGTCATAAAAGTACAGGTCAGCAGTCTTGTCGTGGTGTGACATTTGCCTTTGTAGTTGCAACACTTCCTGGTAAATCTCTTTATTAGCCTCCTTATCCTCAGCATAAGAGAGAAGATATAAAAAAAAAATTCTCCTCCTACGAAACTAATTGTGAACACCAAAAGATAAAAAATCCTTCCCCAGGCCCCTTGGATTTCTGAGAAGCACCTCAATATTATTTTTAAATCATAGTTTAGTAATTAATGTACATAAAAATAAAACTTTAAATAGTTGAAATAGTACATGAGCAACATGCATGAAAATCGCTCTATCTTTGAAGTTTTTGTTTTCTGCTGTTAACTTTCTAAAGTTTATTTTCTTGTACTCTGTCTGTCTCATATTCATGGATTCTAAATTCTACACGTGATGCACAATTGCCTATCTCATATACTTAGCTCATAAAACTGAACCCAGAGTAACAGGTTTTCATTAAAGACACAGAAAGAATCAATATTTTGTAATTATATAATTTGGGTGAAGTTTAAGTTAACTTAGGTTCATGTTACACCAGGTAATTATGTATTAAAAATTGGATATGGTTTAAAAACTGAATGAGGTGTTAAAATTTTACTTGGACTTTTTTTATTTTGGAAATATTAAGGGTATGAAGCATTTTTAGCCAAGATAATTATAACTAATGCAATTCAACCCTAATTTTAAATTATTCTACTTATTATACATCTTTACATCTATACCAGAAGACCAGTGTGTGAAAAGCATAGTTATCCTAATTCAGACAGGTGGGCTCAGCCAGAGGAAGACTTTGAAAGGCTTTACACATTTTCGTGAGAATTTATGTGTAAATTTCTAGGAGAAATAAGGGATTCACTCCCACAACTGGGGAAAAAACTTCCATAAAGAGATGGCCATGGAAGACAGTTGTGAGATAAAAGCATTTTGTTAACAATTTTAAGAAAATGTTTATAATTTACTCAATTTTTTTCTGGCTTCTGATTTTTATCTATCTTCTCTGTCGGAGTAATACTTGTGGCCCTATTTCTTATTATCCAAAAGCAAAGGGCCATGTTATAATGAAAGAGGTTTGCCTGCGAAATTTATGCTTTGTCTGCATCCTATGTTATTTTAAAACATCTAATATAGCACATGTATAAATGTTGCTATTAAGGTGGCTATTAAGAAAAACCTGAGAAAAGAGAAAGGAAAAGTAAGTTAGAGGCAAATGTCAGGAAGCTGCTTTTTTACTGCAGAGGTAATTAAACAAAGCTGTAAAAATTAAGACTTAGCAGTAGGAGAGATTTAAGAGGAAACTGCTTTAGGAAATGTAGATTTGCTGCTCCAAGGTGAAGATACTTCAGGATCGCTGGGAAATTCATTGCACTTATTTGCATCCCTGGGATCAAAGCAACTTTTCTAAATTCCAAGAGAAAACAGGAAGTGATGGTCTGAGAGAAGATACTGTCTAACAAAGGTCTGCCCTCCCTTTAGACACAGCAGAGTCAAACCCGCAAGAAACTGCTTTCTGACTACAGGTATAACTGCCTCATAGTCAAATCAGGAGTGACACAATGACAGTAAACTATCGCCTTTGTATCTAAAATTAGAAACCCCCAAGAGGGAAAATGTAGACGTCCTTAGTACCGACAGTCAGATATTTTTGAATTCCAAAGGAAATTTCTTTCATCTAGCCCTTGAGATATTTGTTCACTTTACTTGTATGAGCCTAGGATTTGGGGCCTATTATATATTATTTGAAAGCAAAATCCCGTTCGCATACCAAGTTTATTGCCTGTCAAGCCTAGGAAGTACCATGGACAGCAAAAGGTGCACTAAATTATTATTAGTCTGGAGCCCTTGGTTTATTATTTTACCCTTCTGGACCTCAGTTTTCTCACCCACGAAATGGGGGTGAGAGGGTTGTTTGTTGCATTAAGTCAGTGGTTTTCAGTCTTTGCCTACAGAACCTGTTATTCCACAGAGTTTCTTCAGTGAATTTGATTTGATATATTTTGAAGTGTTTTTAAACAAGAACTCACAAGAAGTTCATATATTCAAACACGTTAAACTAATTTTAACTTGTTCAAGCTCAGCTAAATTGTAAGAATTGTTGTAACAGTTGTAAAAATGTTATACCACCAAAGTAACTACTTTTTGCCCTCATCCTTAAGTTCTGCATTATGTCTATTTGGCTGAAAAATAAGTATCCTGAGATTGCAGGGTGAGCTGTAAAAAAACTGTTACCATTACCATCTGCTTCTCTGTGATAATAAGAATTCCCTCATTGCTACACATCTGAAACCAAAACAAACCAGAAATAGACTGGTTATGATGACCATTCGCCATAATCCTTGATATCCAATTTTTTTCATCTACCAAAATAGCTTCATTGTTGGCATTAATTTACTTCCTAATAACTAAATGTTTACAGTTGAACTAGTGAACTAAATGACATCCCTTACTCATTTCACTCACTGACAATATGCACTGGTTCACATGGTTTGCGGATTGGCTCATCTAATGGTTCTCAAAGCTAAAGAGATTGTTGACATCTAGCCCATGGTTTCAAAATAATTTTTATGTTTTTATGGCTTTTTTTTCTGATGCTTAATGCTAACTAAGAAATGTCGATGAGTTAAAAGCCTATAATGAAAACAATAAACCTCACTAACCATCTCCAGTGCCCACAAATCACCAGTGTTAATGCTTTTGCTATATTTCTTTCCAGTCTTGGAAAGACTGGAACACAGATGAGTTCATACTGTGTACAGTGGACACTTGGAATTCAGTGATTTAGCCTTCTTGGTTTCTACTGTTCTAAACCAAGCCTGAATATCCATGATATATAGTAACTTGACATTTTACTGAGGCAGGAATATGAGTCTCTTATCCTACTAGACCAACATTTGAGCCTACCTGACGACCAGAAGTTCCATCCCAAGAGAGCTTTTGTTGCTCTCTGCTGGTGTCTTTTATGCAGTCATTTTTATGAAGTGGTAAAATACCTTGTTTCCTCGCCAAAAGTGGTCTCAAAAAGGAAGCCAAAACTTAACACTTCTAATGGAAGGAAAAGAGAGTGAAGTTAAAATTTTAATGGCTTTTAGCAGAAATTAAGACTGTTTCTCATTGGTGACTCAGAGCAATGACATCACTAATCCCATCATAGGCTCTCTCCAGTGTTCTGGTGGTGGTCCCAGCTTGGGTACTCCCAGAAGTCCAGAGGCATGCTCCTCCTATAAGTCAGGGATCTACTGCATGTTTTGTTTTCCACTGCATTCATTTCACCCCATAGTATGGACCCTTTCCCCTGTAGCTAAGACGTTTAGAATCTAATCAAATGTAAAATCCTCTCTTGTGCCTGCCATGTCATAATTACAGCTTCTGTCTTACACCACGGGGAAATTTTTTTTTAATGCCTTTTCCTGTTGTTGTTTGTTTGTGCAGTACTTTGTCTCATCTTTGCCTCTCAGGTGAAGGCTAAAATCCATCATGTGGCGAGAAAGCCCTAAAATGTATGCCTATGGTCCAGCAACAACTAAAAAGGCATCGTTTTAGTTCAGCTAATAAGCACCTTGTGTTCTCAGAGTGGCTTTCAATGTAAACTACGCTACATTTGGCCTCCTCTAGCTCAGTCCATGAGACCGGAATGACTGTTAATGCTGTCTGGGGGAAATTGTGCAAGACATTGTTTGTGAGAAGATCAGAGAAGCACCTTTGCAGATTCATTCTGGCACGGGCCTCCAGTGTTCCCTCCAAGGCAGTAATGAAGGGGGCTTCAATTGGCAAGGGTTGGAAAAGTGAAAAAAGCTCTCACTCATCACACTATCATGGTCACAATCATTAGCAAACAAATCTGTTTCTAGCCGAAAATGCATCCAGATTCCCCCTTCCCTCAAGGAATTCCGAGCAACAGTCCTGAGCAAATGCCCAAACTTGTATGCCCCGAGCGGCAGTTCTTGGTGAGTTCCAGTGGACTTTTTTGTCCAGCCCCATTTAATTTGACAGCAAATTGCATAAATCATCCCTGGCCACGATCCAAATTGTGAACAAAAATCTCAGATTGAATCTTAATGCGACTCTAAAGAAATAATCTGCATCGCGAAAGCCATTATGTATAGTGGGCATGTAAAAACCTGGTCACGCTAACTTGGTGACTAGTCCAATGCTGTACAGCCTGGTGGTTAGGAGGGGAGCTTTGGAGCAAAGAGGCTGGCTTGGGATCCTGGCTCTGCTGTTTTACTGGTTGAGTAGCCTTTGGCCAGTTACTTGTTCTCAGTAAATCTCCATCTTTTATCCTGTGAAGTGAGGAAAATAACAGTACTTACCCCACAGAGTCATCATGAGGAATAAGTGCCCTAAGATATTTAAAGAGCTTAGTAGAATGTCTGACACATGATAAGCACTCAAAAATGTTAGTTGCTACAGCTATTATGACGAAGATCATGATTATGATAATGTTGATGTTACCTCAGAGAGAAACTGCTAAACTTTCCAGAAATCAGCTTTCTCCTCCATGAAGGGGAAAGATGCCCCGGAATTCTCTATGGGTCTAGAAATGGAGTTCTCTCTTGTTTTAACAGCCAGAGACACAAATTCCTAAAAAATATCTTCGTCAGAGTAAATCCCATGTATCAGATTTTTAAAGTACAACAACCATGAGCAATTAAGATAATTAGCATCTCCATAAATTGCAATGTGCAACTGCCTAATAATCCCCACTTAACCAGCTGTGAGACATTGCCATTTTATTCAGATGGGATTCATGCCATGTCTCCAAAAAAGGAGAA